AAAATTCCATGTTTTCCGTCCCGTTTTTGCTCATTTCTCAGAGGCAAAATGAGCAAGAACGCTCATTTGTACATCATTCTAGAGAGAAATAAATGACTTTTTTAGAAAGTGAACCATGGATAAGAAAATGTTGGCAGTTTTCTCAAAAAATGCTTGAATTTAAGAAGTTTTAGATTTGCGTGGTTTTTTTTTGAGTTGCAAAATCCACTTGAACATGGCGCTGCTTTTTTCAAACTTTCTCAATAACCATTTGAGCCACAGAATTCGTTTTGGCATCGTTGGATAGAGAATTGATAAGTCGATTCAGTCGTAACAACATGAGTGAGGAAATTCGAGTAGTTTTAACCCAGAAAGCGAAATGTGAATATCAGACACTTAGGTGCAAGATTATGACAAAATTCCATGTTTTCCGTCCCCTTTTTGCTCATATCTCGGAGGCAAAATGAGCAAGAAAGCTCATTTGTACATCATTCTAGAGATAAATAAATGAAAAGAGTTGATTTTTTGACACCACCCTGTGAATAGAGGCGATGACCGAAAAATTGAAAAACCGTTTTGAGCTATTTGGTTCATCTTCAAACTTTTTCAATCTGCATCCAGGAGCATGTCGAACTTTGCAAAATTTTGCATTTGTTCCGCAACATCGACCAACAAAAGGCAAATGCGGCTTAACAACGCTTCAAACAGAAGCCAAATCGCTTGAAGCAAATCAGAATTTTTCCAGTTGCAAAGTTAAGCCAAATTTGGCTGTGTAACCTTCATTTTGTTGAATAAACCGATGAAAAAACCATCAACTAGTGCCAACATTCAATACAAGTTTTGCTTGTTTAATCTCTTATTTGACTCTCTAGCAATTGATGTAGAAATATCCTATGCTGTACCAAAATGTGCATATTCAAATTTAGCGTTTTATGTCACAATTGCCAGATGGGCTTTTTATCACTCAATCTAGAGACAGGAAAACGGGTTTTGTGGCTCAAAGGGTTCTTGAGATAAGCCGAAAGAAGCAGCGTAAAGTTTGCGCCGATTTTACCGCGTCCAACTAATAATCATCCTAAAATGTTTGCCTTTTGCGTAAACGCTGCCCATATTTTCTCACTTCTCTATCGGCTGGTGCAGAAATTATCGTTCTAGCTCCATTTTCCCTTAGATATGAGCAAAAAAGACGAGACATGTATGAAACTTTGCTTCTACTTTGCCCCTAAATGTGTAATACCTATGCAATTTTCGTATTTTTTAATTATTTATCCAGTGATAGAAAAACAGGCGCTCTAATTGAAATGATTTGTGAGATACGGTCCAAAATGAGGCGTTCTGTTTGCCAAATATTAGTTTGGATTATCGTTCTTTCACACACTCTATACATAGTAGTTTAAAGTTAAACCGATGCCGACAAACAACCGATACTAATCAACGGCTCAATAACGTAATTGGCGCTGGACGAAATGCCGCGCCATTTTCACGTAAATCTGGGCTTTGTTTCAGCAAGACAAGGGGGAATCGGGCGGATGCGCGGGCGTTCCAAGCAGCGCATAGAACACCTACGGGGGCCCAGATTAAATAATAATTGCGATTTTAACTCAAAAACTTGCACAAAAAATTTGTATATGACTGGACACTGTTTCAGACCTTAATCCTTAACCAGTTTTGCGCGTAGAAAATAAATAAATCTAAAAGGTAACGAAAAAAATTAATATTATTTCCTCTATATCATTATGAGCTCCTTGTTTGGAAATTGAGCTGGTCTTTGACCAGATAATCCAATAGAGGAACCGCCACAGCGTATACTTTCCCACTTTAAAAATTTTAGACTAGTGAAACATTCACATTTTGACCGTGCTGTTCAATGATAGCTTGAAGAGTGGTGAAGAAACGCTCTCCAGACTCAATGGCGCACATATTAGCTGAATGGTGGTTCATCGTCTGAGCGCTTGGCTTTTTTTTGTTGCATGTGTGTTTTTTGAGCTCAATGCATAAGAAATATACGATGTTCTTGGATTTGAAGCGTCGTTCCTCCCTGCTACGAACATCGCATAGCATTGGAACCATTTTGAGCGATTTGAGTTTTTCAGAAAAATTGTGAACTGGTGGACTTTCAGAAAGCAAACCATTCGACAAATTTGAAGTGGTTTGGTGGCTTTGGTAAAAAAACATGAGCGAATGTTGTTAAAGAGCTGCATCCCATGGGAAAATCTCTGGGTATCTTTGATACAACGCCAACATGCCAAAGCCCATTTATGTCCATCAGTTAGTTCAATTATCCATGTTTAGTCCGAGCCAGTATCTGTGCAATTTTGCTATGTTAAGTCATTTGCGTAATCGTTCAAGAATTTCATATAGTTTTCTGTTCCATGCGAGAGATTATTTTCCAAAGCGGGCGCATCATAAACGAAATATTCTTAAGAGTTAATTAATTTTTAAATGAATATTAACCTTTTAGTGCGTGCATTTTATTTTATATTTAAACCATTCGATTTTAGTATCAGTTTCTTTCCTTTCGGTAGTTACTCATGACCCATAATTTGTTTTTATTTTTCAATAAACTCAATCATTATCTATCATCACTATGTCTACCATCCCCATCATTGCGAATTTTTAATGAGAAATTCGAAAAGTAACATGTTACTTTTGGAACGGCAGTTGGAACCTAATACCAAAGTGAACGTTGTAACCTGTTCCAGAAAAATAACCGTTTAGCACACCTGTAATACACACTGTATAATTTAGATTAATTTAAAACATTATGCTTGATGATGGACGACTGCATTGGTCATTCAAAAAAATACCAGTAATTAATAAGTTGTTGGATTAACGTCACGGGTTCCACATACTTCTTGTATATCCCCGTTAACCCAATCAAAAGACGTCATCAGGGTTTTACTACAGTGGGTTTTACCATTGCTCACGGATCGATCCTCCCCTCCAGCTGCAGTTCTGAATTTCCCCAACGAACTGAAGGATGAAGGCGAATCAACTGAACGATATCGTTTCGCAGTTTCCATCACGATTTACTGTTCCGCTGTTCGCTGCACAGTTCGTAGGTTACAACCGGTAGCGATAAAGTTTCTTGCTAAACTGTTGAGCGGTTAAGAAGACTTTTTGATTTCGGCGCGGTTAAGGATTCTTTGCGTATTTCAACATAGTTTTGCATAGTTCTTGCTGATTTTTTACAGGTAAGATTTTTTATTTGCTACGCAATGGTCTTTTTGCAAGTTCTAAAATGTATTCGTTCAAGTTTTGTTAGTTTTTTTTTATCAAAATAGTTCTATTTTGGATAGGTGCTCATGTACTTTATGTCTTTATGTCGGATTTTGGCGTTTTAAAGTGCACTGAATAAAGCACATTGAGCGAACAAATGCGGATGGTCCATAAATTTGCAGAAAAAACACTTACAAACTTTCGCGTTTTAAGAACAAGAAGAGAAGAATAAATTTTGCTTTAAGAACTAAAAATAAATATTTTGCGCAATATAATAATCTGTTACATGTAAATATTTGTGAAGAGCCAATGGAATTTTACACTTTTTAAGTTAGAGGAAGATAAACCTACTTTAACAATTCGGATTTTCATTTTGATTGAAGAAAATTCAGAAAACCAGCGCAAATTGCATTGCAGCCAACATTGCATTTCTAACTGCTTCGTAACCATATAACGAATACATTCAGACCTATAAATATGTAGTACCTTTGCATTATTTATTCTATTAATATTTCATGTCTGAGTCGGTTGATCATCATTTATATCGCTTGAATTTGATCCATCTGATCTCAGCGAAAGCTTTTAGATTCCCGAACTATTCGGGCTGAAGTTAGATGGTGCCAATGTAATTTCTGAGTTTAGTAATAGACCGATATTTTAAGTTTTCATGTCTGCTGTTCAAAATTAGAAAGTTTTTAAGGAGTTTTATTTAAGTGCTTCTGCAATCTGTGGACTTTACCTAACCCTAAATAGGTTATAGATATTTAGCCTATATACAGAGTGATTCACATTCAACAAAATGTTCAAAACTTTTTTGAGTTTCCATTAATTTCTCTGTGCTGCAAACTGAGTGTTGATTTATTTCTTAACTATTTCCAAGCAAAATTTGCTTATTGTAATAATCCCGGGTTCATAAGTTGCTGAATTATTATTATTAACCTACTAGTATGTGCTTGAACTCGATGTCAGAAGTATTTTTGAGATTTATTTAACTTTAATTTAAATGCTTATCAATTAAATTGATATTGACTAATCAGAACAAGTCAGGTTCGAAGGTTCCGATAAACATATGTTTTGAACGAAAGCAATGTTTTTAGGTCACATTAGATAGGTAAACTCGTAACCACGTTTTCACTTGACAAATTAACTGCCGGAAAGTACTTGCGGATAATAGACTTGCCATTAGGTGCAAGATTATGTCAAAATTTTATGTTCTCCGTTCCGTTTTTGCTCTTTTCTCGGAATCAAAATGAGCAAGAATGCTCATTTTTACGTCATTCCAGAAAGAACTAAATGGCCTTTTTAGAAAGTGAACTATCGATAAGGAAATGTTGGCAGTTTTCTCAAAAAAGTCTTGATTTCAAGAAGTTTTACAGTTGCGTGTTTTTTTTTGAGTTGCAAAATCGACTCAAACGACGCAACCATTCGAGCCACAGAATTCGTTTTGGCACCGT